ATCAGTTGTTTTTTCAAAGAGTATAGACGTCGTGCACACCCGTACCCTCGAACATCCGATGATGAAGGTCGCCACGCGATATACGTAGATAACATCCATGACACATCCCAAGATGTTGCAGGGTTTTGTACGGCATTGATTACTCCACAGTTTAGCATAGTTTAGCTGTTTTCCCCCCATGTGACGACATATTTGGACAAGAACGAAGTGCCCCATACACTCGTATTGCAGCTGAATAATGCTGAATATAGTGGCTGCGTGGCTAGAATTCTGAAGAGTGGCAGCCCTTGTAGGGATTGCGTCTCCCAATGGGATTTGCTTCTCGTTGAGTTGGCTGAATTGCCGTGGTCAACGCGGTCTAGCCGAAATAGGATGTCACGTGACCACCGAAGGGTGCGCACTTTATATTGATCATGTGCAGAAGATGAGGTATTTTGATTTTTAGACTTGGCTGCAACACATACAGACAAATGTGGAGAAGGTGCCACCTGTGGCACTACTGTACTTAATGGCCACCAGGCGCTGCCAGGTAGCCTTCCACATGGAGAGCAGGTGTCTCCCATTTGCCCGTTTTGCCCGGAAAGCTTAGGAGCTGGTCGAGATGTTGAGCAACTTCTTAGGGGTCAAACCTGCACCTTGGATGAAGAGCCGATGACCCCGTGCCGATTGAATGGTCGTTCTCCTTCAGCACCGTGCCACACCCATCCCCAATTTGCTGATCACAAGGGTTCATGCCAATTCAATTTGATGGAATTGAGGTGCCTCGGGAGGCCTCGGGCCACTTCTGAATTGCAGTCAGTAGAAAGTATGAGAACCCCCTCAGAGTGCGAGTTTTCATGAGTTTTCGCATCCCCTGCAGCGTGCTCCAGCCACTACAAAACGATAATTATTGAGACAAAGAAGACAACAGTTCAAAGTATTTTTGAAGTGAAAAGTACAGTAGAGGCGGTGGAGGGGCTTTCTTGTCACCCACACCAGAGACTGTCCAAATTCCTTCCAATTCTATTGTTAGGATGCACAAACCCTGTAGTGATCTAGAGTCCCGGAGAGTTAGTCACCAATACCAGTACCGGGGTCCATGTCCGTACCCGGGGCCAACCGTTGGACCAAAACCCCCCCACGCTTCCTTCGCCGCATGCCGCCGAGCGCCTGTTTCAGGACCAGAACTTGCGGGACCTCAGTTACCCCATCAGCAGCTTTCGGAAGTTGCGGGAGCCACTTGGGAAAATTGAACCGGCGATTTTCCCCAGGACTTTTTGTTTGTAGGAGGTTCTTCAGAGAGAAGATAACAAAGCCACCAGCATGGGCTGCCGGGTTAAAACGCCAGCACTGCCCATTTGAGCACATATCGAGAAACCAAGCGCTGCATAAATATGGACAAACCTCAGCAAACGACACAAACCTCACCTGGTCATACATACCCGATCTTTTGGCACAACCCTATAGGCCCTAGAGAGGAGAAAGAAACAAGTAGTTGGATTGGATGCCCTATGAAAATTCTGCAGGTTGATGGACCAAATTGACAGCTGTTGAAGGACATTTGGCAAGTCCACGGGAAGCCTTCGAAGTTTGTCAAAGTCCCCCACATCCTCCACCCACCAAAGAGACATCCAATTTACTCTAAGGGCTTCAGTCAGCTTCACTTCTTCTTTGTCTTCACTTGTTGATCCATTTTCATCCACCAAGTCTACATGATTTATATAACCCACATATACCCAACCGGGAAAGAGGCCTACTTGATGGAAACTGCCTCATTGTTACACACCGGCTGCAGTGAACTGTGGGGCGAACAAGACGATTATCTACACTGCCATGTTTGGCGGAAACCTTCGATATTATTAGTGCATCGCTCTCTTGTTCACAGGTGTTTTGTCACCCCCCGGGGCCCTTCAACTGCGTATTGTTCGAAAGAGCCCAGCTGGCCAAGCAGCCGCATGCCATGCACCCTGAGGTTTGCCGTGCGTCAGGCTGAGCGAGCTCAAAACCACACACGCTTTTAAGCTCGGCAGCGGCAAGTTTGGTTATGTGATGTTTGTTTTGTGATGGGACGCAGTCTGGGACTGTGACGTGTCGGCTGAGATATGAGAATTATGCACACTGGGATGGCAAAAAGAGGCTGTTGAAACAAACTAACATAGCAACCGGTTTGAGAAGGGAAAATCTATGAAAGTGCTCCAGGATTTCCATCACAAGAAAGGTGTTGGTTTCATGCCAAAAACATAATGGAATCGTCCTGGAAGGACACGGAGCTCTTGACTTTGGCACCCTACCTGAATGAGGCAGTTTGGGGGAACAACCAGAAGTTACGTGTTGACATGTTTTGGCATATTGGGAATTTTAACCATATCATTTACAGCCAGTAGGAACACAGCCCCGTGCCGCTCGTGGGGGAAACGTGGTGCTTTTCTTGAGGATCAAGAGCGTCGGCCGCTGCCAGAGAACGACGGCCGCTAGTACCGCTTCCAAGAAGCGAAGATGAAGAGGAAACTCTTAGTTTGAATGGGTTAGCTGTCCAGGACGGCCAGTAACTTGGCTAGCTGATGAGTGTTGTTGTATTGATCGCAAAGTCCTGTTGGAGATTGCTGATTGATCGCATGCAGCTATGAATTCACAAGCTTAGATAAGTTTTTGTTGACATTTGTTTACGAGCTCTGTAACATTGTTGGAGGTTCTCTAGCTGGGACATTGGGATCCACCTGCTGTATCAATTCCCTTATCAATTGTCAATGACACAAACATCCTGACAATACTGCAGAGTCAGAGTCATGGCGCCCAACGTGCTGATAGGTGTTCATGACCTGATATAAACACAATTGCAAGGTGCGGTGTTGTGTGGATCATATTACGATTGTTCTGAGAGTTCGATTGAGTCTCTGTGTGCGTTTCTCCTTCTACGCGTTGATCGTCTACTGCAAGTAGTAGTCCAGCTGTCCGCTCCATTCGTCAATCCGCTAGTGACGAGTATTTTTGCCCCTCCGACCGGGCGCCTCATGGCCGAAGTTGTTTGTGTTGTTTGCGCGCTGAAGAGGATTGATGGGCGTTGTGGCGCCAATAAAGCCGGTAGACCCGGTAGAGGTTGTCTCAAGCAGAATGGATGTGGGTTGGGTTGGGCAGGACCAGTCAGTAAAATTCAGTAAACAGTTAGAGAAATGCCTGCAACATCCTGCAACCAAACCATCATCCACTGCTACAGGGAATGGGGTATGGGGTTTACCCAAAGGGTTAGGTTGAGACCCGCAGCCATGGGCGAATGGCCGGAGCCGTTGTTTTGTTCGAAGGCGGTGGGAAGAGCCCAGCCTTTAGACAGACGCGACCGTCACCCGAGGAGATTCCTAGGGCCTAGAATGTTCAAGCAGCTCTGAGGCCGATGATGGAAGTGATTCCCAAAGACGGAACTAACATGGTTACGTGGATGGCACTTTTCCGCTTGGAAGACCATGTTCTCTCTACAAAGCCGCGGGTGAACTCCACTTCCATGTTAGTTCCAGGTGAGACTCATGCAGCTTCCACGCTCCAGAGATGCGGTCAGAACCACGGCTTTGCCACGGTTTTAAAACAAGTGCAGCGGCAAAATCTGACGAAGTGGGGCAGGAGATGTTTCTTCGTTTCTTGTTCTGAAAACTTGGATGCAATCAGAAGCAGAAGGATCCTCTACCATGTTTGGGGTGGCTGGAGGTTCAACTGAGGTGACATATAGTCAATCTTGATGTGTGCAGATAGTTTAGGGTAATGAAATTGATGAATAACCGTGAATAACCCACAACCTGTTGGAGCACGGCATGATGCGCGACAAAATTCATTATGCACTATGTGCATGTTGGACGGCTTGGACAGTGGATCAGCCTGAGTAAAAATTTGTTCACTGGCACTGTACAACTTGCATGGTTTGTTGGAGCTAGCTACATGCAAGGAGAAGAGCCATGCTTCAGGACATATACCACCAGGATTGCCAGCTCCGTATCATTCGAATCAATCGGATTGACCAGTTGAGGTTTTCAAGGCCAGGCAGGGGTATCTCCGACGCAGTGGTGCTTCGACAGCCCACATTCCGAGTTCAAATCCCTGTGTTTGGGAGCAAAACTCAAGCAGTGAAATTGGTTGTTTGCCCTCAAAACAGACCGGTGAAGGATTACAAGGCCCATTTGATCTCCTTTTGATAGAAGAAGGCATGTAACGGCCATAAATAGTTTGATCCTATCCAAAACTGGGGTCACTCAGGTTCTGGATGATACCAGGTGTTTCTTTTGTCTCTACACGGTCTCTCTACGTGGACCCTCACGCGACCCTTGACAACCGGCTCCAGCGGGGGGGCATCTGAAGACCGAGACCCCGGGGGCACTCGGACTCAGTGGTACCGAGTTTGGGAGGGAAGGAGTGGAGGGATGGAAGGAGTGGAGTGGAATGAGGTTTCGCAGTGAGGGATGGAGATTGGTGGTTTGGCCGCCGGCTGACCCTCTTCCAACTTGAGTCACGTGGAAGTCCCCACCTTGCTTGTCAGACAAAGGCGTCAGAGAAAGGCTATGAGGGAAAGAGAGACAGGAGGTCCGTGTTGATCGATTCAAGCAATTCGTACAAGTGCAAGTTGAGCCTCCGTCTCGTTCGATTGTGTCCCTGGTTCTTTGACCGCGTATTTGTGTTTTTTTTGGGGGGGATACTGGTGTTGAGCACATCGTCTCTGAGGCTTGCCTTGCGGGTGCACTCTCAAGTTAGTAAAGATGGTTTTCCTGATATATCGTTGAGGTGGGTCCAGGACCTTCTGCCTGAATCAGGGTCTCATCTAGAATCTACTGCTATAATACGACCACATTGTATGAAGCATATGATATATATATATATAGATAGACTTTAGATTTCATTTTTCACTGGATGAGGGGTCCATAGCGTCTCCAGTGGCAGCTCATTTTGTTCAGTCATCCCATGAGAAGTCATCCCGAGAACACCTGCCCGCCTTAGCTATGATTCCTTTGGGCCCCCGACTCTCGGTCGTCACTGAGGCCGGAATGGCCCGGCCCGTGAAGAAGAAGGCACGGCGAAAACCTGTGATACCGGACGGCACTGGGTGGCGCTTGGATCTGAGGGTTGTGATTTATAGTATTGTTTACACTCCCTGAAATCATAATGAAAGTGGCCAAAGAGGTAGCTGCCTGAAGATGAGCAGGTAGTGAGCAATGAGCAAAGGGGATGTCAATGAGTGTAGTCATGGAAGTAAATGTCACCATTTAGTTTGTAGACAAACATGGTCCTCCAAGGGGCCGTGCCATCCACGTTGGCCCATGATCCTATCAAGGAGTGTAAAGTGTATCATAGATATCCCCACCTCTTCAGTGCTTCAGACTTGGCCCACACAAAAAACAGAATTAACATGATTAACTTATTGTTATTAACGGAAACACAAACAAATGCCGGATCCTACATGCTGACGCTGCCTTTCATTCGCACGCGGTGCGCCCGCGCATGCCGCGCGAGGATGCAGAAGACTTCTCCAGTGCCATCCTCACGAAGCTGACAGAGGCGGGTGATGAACGCGTCGATGATGCGTGCATATTCATACTGCGTATAGATTTCGCGCTTACCACACGCCCGGCCCATGGTCAAGGAGTTGTTTGTGGATTGTCGAAAGCCACAGGGTAGCACCAGTGAGGTCTATCAGACATCAGCCACCGTCAGTTGAGGTTGCCTGCTGGTTCAGGTATTCATTTGGATGGCCCTGGAACCCTCCAATTGTTCCTGTTCGATTGACATCTCCCATCATACCCCCGGTAACTCATGTCCCGAACAATCAGCCTCGTGCTTTATATAATATTTATATAAATCTTTATAAAAAGGATGTCTTGAATATGACATGCAAACTCTCGATTTCATGGGAGGGCACCTCTGTTTTGATTCCTTCCTGTCGGTCCCGCCGTTATTCCCCCTTGGAGGAACTCGTGCAGAAGACCGCGACCGAGGAGTTCGCCAATGCCACACGGTCCAGTTCGTTCCAGTTAGACCACGGGCAAAACCCGGCCCGGACAACGTCACAGCGGAGGGCGGACAAGTTGGACCGTGCTTTGTGCTATTTTTTGAACTTCCCATTTATCAGTTTGTTTAATCTTTCCAGATTTGAGTTCCCTTCAACGAGGAAATGGTTTGTTTGCAGATGTCTTCGAAGTCTAGCTGTGTTGTTGTCCAAGAGCTTATCTCTGAGGATGTGACGATCCTCTTCTGTGGCTCTAAGAAGCTTCTTGGCCGTACGGGTACCTCCCACAGGCGGTAGCCGGTCCACCAGCGGTACCAGGTATGCTGGTGTGACCAGACAGAGTGACCTGGTAAGAGTGCGCCATTGGCAGGAGAATCAGGTGGGACAAGTTTCAAGAAGAATGAATTGCACTTTGACATGCCTCAGATCCGTTGTGCTTTCCCCACAAACTTTTAGGGTGCCGATGCTGGGCCGGTGACTATTCCTCTCCTGAAGATCCATAGGAAAGGTTGTGCATTCAAGTTGCAAGTTGAACTTACAGTAACTCAAATTGCTGGCCACGATTTGGGGCATCCCATGCGTCAAAGTTTGGCTATTCCAGCTCCGGTTCGTGAGCAGATATTGCCGCCCAAGTTCTGATCCTAGCAACTGGTACAAGCTTAGCACTGACTTTGTTGGTTCTGGTTAAGGATCCTTAGTCCTTACTGACCATCATCATCATCATCATCATCATCATCATCATCATCATCATCATCA